CTATAGTCATGCTGGATTTTCTCATCAACATTTCAGGGTTATTTGCTGAGACCCAGGAATGCACAAGCCAATTCAGATTTGTGAATGACCATTTGCACAATCAGTTTGGGATTCTTAAAAATCATCTCCGGGCAATCAGGCAAAAAAAGCAGGACAAAAGTTGGTTCTTTGGGGCCCAAACGACTAAGGAGGAATGTGTAGGATTAGGGGGGAAACATGATGGGCTCACTTCCAAGGTTTGTAGTGTAATCCCGTGTCATCACTCGAACACGATCTTCCTTGTGGGCAATACACTCCTGGAACATGAAAAGGGTGTGTACAGAAGTGAAGTGAATCCTGGTGCCCAATGGTCTAGCTCTCTGCTCACATGAACGCAGCCTCTAGAGAAGTAATCTAAGCAGCTGGTTTCCATTTGACGAGCTGGCATTGCAACACCAATTGTACAACACGCACGCGCTCAATTGGAAACAGCCAAGCGACAACTCTCTGGCTGCGAAATCTGTCTCCGGGGACAGAAACGGGGCTTGTGTTTCATGAAGATGCTTCACACGTGGGGAACAGAGCTGAGCAAGCAGTAGCAGGGAATGGAAATCTATGACAGGCAGAGAAACGCCGTTGTGTGATATGAGGTTCCCATCCAGAGACCCCACAAGGCGTTCAGCTGCTACCGCTGCTGTGCAAGGAATGTTTTGCTCAGATTGGTGCTGAATTTCCAGAACTGATCCTGGGGTTCACATTGGATTCCAGAACTGCTGTTTGGGGGTCTGGAGGTGGGCCTAGAATGGCCAGTGCCTGCACAGAAAGTTTCACTTCCTGCAAGCTGATGATGTCAGCTATGCTTACAAGGAAGGCAGTTTTTGCACATGCTTGTTAAACGTGACCTAGTGGAAACTGCCCCGCGCCTAAGACTCTGTTCTTGGTTACCAAGGGAATTACCATGGCAGAGATTTTACTACACATAATGAAGGAAGACAACTGCATACAGTTGCCAACAGACTTGGAGAAAAATGTCCTGTCCCTTTACATACATATGTGCCGTTAAGTTGCAACCGACTCATGGCAACCCCAGCAAGGGGCTTTCGAGGCAAGTGCCAAGCAGAGGTGGTTTGCCATTGCCTTCCTCTGCAGAGCCTTCTGTGACTGGTCTTTATCATGCCGTCTTATCATCCCTCCTGTCCACTTAATTGAGGCTTAGTGCCTAGAAACATGCAGTTGAAGCTTTTCATGGCACAGAAGGAGATAACCTCACATGATAAATAAAAGCCTGTTGAACCTCTCTTAAATGGACAGGACCGTTTTCTCCAAGGCTGCTGGCAACCTCAGGACTGCACACAGAGCTGCCGTTTTTCAAAGCCTAAGTTGGCAACAGACCTGGGGGGAAATGCCCTGTGCCTTTAATAGGGACTTAATAGGATGTTATTTGCCAGGTGAGGTTATTTACCTCCATGTCTAGAAAAGCTTCAGCTGCTTCTTTTCCACACATTAAACCTTTCTTAAAGGGATAGGACATTTTTCTCCAGGCCTATTGGCAACCCTAAGGAAAAGAATATAAGGAGAGTCCTGATGGCAAAGGATTCTTCTACTTTTGAGCATTGTTGTTCCATAGAGCTAGCATGGCTAACCGCTATTGGTCCACTTCTCCTTTAAAGCCATCTAAAACAGTGGGCCTCATTACATCTTGTTAAAGAGCTGGTTTTTATAACCTGGTTTTTCTACCAGAAATTGCTTTCCCTTCCTCTCCCCACAACAGGCATCTTGTGGGGGGGGGGGCTGAGAGAGTTCTGAGAGAGAGAACTGTGAGTGGCCCAAGGTCACCCAGCAGGCTTCATGTGGAGGAGTGGGGGAATCATACCCAGTTCTCCGCCTAAGCACTACACCATGCTAACTTCCTTGTGACAGTGAGCTCCATAAATTAGTTGTGCATCGTATGAAGAAGCACATTCTTTTATCTGCACTGAACCTACTACTAATCCATTTCATTGGGGAACAGACACACCCCAAGTTTTCATACTTTAGAAGAAGAATGTCCCGTCACGTTGCAGCCATCTAATTGCAACTCCAGCCGCTCAAGGCAAGAATGAACAGACGTGGTTTGCAGTTGCCTTCCCCCCTCATAGTAACTGGCATCTTCTTCCTTGGTGGTCTTTCATCCAAGTACTAACCATGGCTGACCCTGCTTAGCTCCCAAGCCCCGACAAGAATGGGCAAAAGTCAGGAATGCAGACTTTAATCTGGGAGAACTGGGTTTGATTCCCTACTCCTCCTCATGCCGCTGCTAGGTCAGTCATAAGTTCTTTCAGAGCTGTTCTCTCAAGGACAGTTCTCCAGCCCCACCTACCTCACAGAGTGTTGTGGGGAGGGGAAGGGAAAGGAGATTGTAAAATGCTCTGAGACTCCTTCGGGTAGTGAAGGGTGGGGTATAAATCCAATCTCTTCTTCTTCTTCTGGTGGGTAAGGTATGGCTGGAGTCTTTGCATAGTGTTGCCAGGAACTTGGGGAAATATTGCCCTGCCCTTTTTTTTTTTTTAATAAAAGCTTAACGGGATGTTATTTATCTCTGTGCTATGAAAACCTCACCTGCCAATTCCATACAATAAGCCTCTGTTAAAGGGGCAGGGGCATTTTTTCCCCCTCCAAGTCGAGGGCAACCATGTTGGCACACAGTTTAAAGGAGCAGCTGGGCGTGTGTTGGGTGATTGTGCGGAAGGGATGACACAGCTGAGCCTGGACTCTGGGCCAATGACAGGACCTTTGTGGTTGTCATAAAAATTCCTGAGCATGGCAGAGTCCGGGTAGGGTTGCCACCCTCCAGGTGGGGCCTGGAAACCTGGAATTACAACTGATCTCCAGATGACAGAGATCGGTTCTCCTGGAGGAGTGGCAGTTTCAGGGGGCAGATTCTGTGGCATCTCCCTTGCCCCAGGCTCTCCCCCAACCTCCAGGAATTTCTCAACCCAGTGTTGGCAATCCTAGAGTTCTCAGTGGTTAACATTTAACAAGGGAACTACAGTGGACGGAGCTTGAGTTCTGCCTCGAAGATCTCTGGCCCCTCAGCCAGATACCTGGAAGTCAGCTGCAGTTAACAGTTAAAGGTAAAGGTAAAGGTTCCCTTGCTCGAAAGCCAGTCGAGTCCGACTCTAGGGTTGCGGTGCTCATCTCCGTTTCAAAGCCGAAGAGCCAGTGCTGTCCGAAGACGTTTCCGTGGTCATGTGGCCGGCATGACTAACCACCAAGGCGCACGGAACGCTGTTACCTTCCCATCGAAGTGGTACCTATTTATCTACTTGCAATTTCTTGCTTTCGAACTGCTAGGTTGGCAGGAGCTGGAACTCTGTCATGCGGCACACTCGAGTCTCGAACTGCTGAAGTACTGACCTTCCACAGCTGTAAAAACATTCTGCACATGTTCAGAGGCTTCCTGTATTTCTGCCTTGTAACTTCCAGCCCTGCAGTCTGGCATTCAGGTCAAGATGAAAGCCCAGAATCAGGTTAAGGCTTCAATTAATAAAAATGTTTGGAGGGCCGTATTCCCCACCCCACCAGCCTGCTCCAGCTACACCCCTCTTAGGATCCACCTCCCGCAGCATCCGCAGAGTCCACCCGGCCTCTGCAAACCAGGCAGATTGGTTTGTCCTTCCTGCTTCTGAGCTCTGTGGTGGATTTATTTTTTTTAACTGTGGAAAAAGAGCACAATATACAGCAAGCCAGCAGGCTGGCATAGGCAAGGGCCGTAAGTGGGTACCGCCTCTGTCTGGCTTGGCATGGCCTGGCAGAAGTGCTTGAGTCAATAGATGACTACATCCCTCAGTCTGATGGGCACAGAGGTTTGAAAAAGCTGGCTGGCAGGTCGAAAACACCTGGAGGTTTTCCTTGGCTTTCTTTGGGTGGAGCCAGACAGCTCAAGCTGGAAACAGCCCGGCTGTTGTTTATCCCACTGTCTGTGGGGCTGAGAGCACACCCAGTTCCCGGCCTCTCCCGTCCAAGGGGCCAGATAGAATTTGTTTGTGGAGATTTGTACAGAAGCTTGCTTTCTGTGGAACTGGTTCTTCTTCAAAAACAAAGCTAGGTTCTCTCCGTTTCTCCAGGGTGGCTGAATTAACAAAGTGGGAAATTCAGGGCAGCTTTCAGAGAGCATCCCAGAAACCTATGGCATTGGTGGGGTGGAATATCTGCAAAGGTACAGGCTAAACGCCCTGACCTGGATAGCCCAGGTTAGCCTGATCTCATCAGATCTCGGAATCTAAGCAGGGTAAGCCCTGGTTTGTACTTGGATGGGAGACCACGGAGGAAGTCCAGGGTTGTGACGCAGAGTCCAGCAATGGCAAACCACCCTCTGAACATCTCTTGCCTTGGGTACCCTATGGGGTCAACATAAGTTGGCTGTGACTTGACGGCACTTTCCACCACCACACAGGTGAGGCTTCTAGTTCTCATGGGCTAAAAGTGAATTGGCAATGCCTACTAAGAATCAGAAGTGGGCATATACACCCAGAACTGGTTCAAGGGGCTGGTGGTTATGCACTAAAGAGAGCGGATGAGGTTTAACCCAGCAGCCCACAGCCTCTCATGATCACGTTACAAAGAATTCTGGGTCATGAGTGTTCCCAGGGAGACAGCTGTATGAGAAAGAGCATGCCGCTGTATGGACCAGCCAGATGTGCAGGTACACATGACACTAATGGGGTTTACCAACCTCAGATTGGGGTCTGGAATTTCCCTGGAATTACCACTGATCTCCAGCCTACAGAGATCAGTTTCTCTGGAGGAAATGGCAGCTTTGAAGGGCAGAGTCTGCTAAGCTCCCTCCCCTCTCCAAACTCCTCCCTCCCCAGGCCCCACCCCTAGATCTCCAGGAAGTTCCCAAGCCAGAACTGGCAACCCAAAACTAGAGATCGGCTAGGAGGGCGGGGTATAAATCTGATAATAATAAAAAATAAATAAACATCGCTCTTTTTTCTTCCCTAGCGGCTCTTTTTATCCTTGCTCTTTTTCCTCTCTAGGTGTTCCTGGGCCCCCAGGCCCCAGAGGATTCAGAGGAGAGCTTGGCGGAAAGGGGCCACCTGGAAGCAGAGGACCGAAAGGCGACGCTGGGAGTATGGGCCCACCCGGCCCACCGGGAGCCCGGGGTCCTGCAGGCCTCCAAGGTCCACAAGGCGAGAGAGGATCGGGGGGCCCAAAAGGCCTCCCTGGATTCAAGGGCAGCAAGGGAAGCTTCGGACCGTCTGGTGCCAAAGGGCAGGCAGGCCCAAAGGGCGAGGTGGGGCCTCCCGGGCCGGATGGTGCATCTGGGCCAGCTGGAGTTGCTGGGCCACCCGGAAGTCCAGGCATCCCAGGCAAACCAGGGCCACCAGGCCCAATTGGGCCAACAGGGCCAAAAGGGGATCCGGGTTTACGAGGCAGGCCAGGGTTACCAGGACCACCTGGGCCTCCAGGACCATGAGCTTGCGCCCCACAAAGGGATGGTGGTGGATGTGGGCAGTGAAACAGCTGCAGACACCTCCGTTCCCTCCATGGAAAGGTGGTGAGATCAGCAGTCCTACTGATGCCTGCCCTCATATTTTCTGCATGGAACAGCCAGGACCTGTTTCCAGCAGCAGAGCTGGAAAATTGAGCTGCCTGCACTGGGGAATCGTCAAGGGCCAAGAGTTGCCGCTGCTGTCTCACCGGGTTTGAAGCATCTTCATCCCTTTGCCCCTTCCCGCAAGACAGCCGAAGCCGGCTCTGCCCCAGTCCTTGTGTCTAGCCTTCTGAGGACCAATTTCCTCCCACTGTGCTCGGGCAGGGAAAACGTGCAAAGAAGTTTTAGAGGCAAAGTTAAACTTCTTAATGTGTGCAGACTTCAGTATGTCTGTGGACATACGCATTAAAGGTTGCCACCTTTTTTTCCCTGGCCATGTTCCTGTGCTTTTAGTGCAGAACTTTACCACATGATGCTTCTCCCACTGCTTGTCTCCATGGCTGGAGGCAGCATTTCTCTATGCCCAGCTGCTTCTAAAGGCACAAGAGAAGAGCCAGCAAAAACTAGCATCCTTGCTATGAGCAGGTTCACCTTCTGCTTGCCACCTTGTTTTGCTTTCACAGGAACACGTAAAGCATAGGCCAGTTAGGCAGGAGTTGTGTCTGAGTGGCAGAGCATCTGCTTTGCACGCTAAAGGTTCTTGGTTCATTCCTTGGCCACCTCCATTCAAAATGATCTCAGATTAGAAGGATTGCCTGAGATCTGCTGCCATTCAGAGGAGACTGTACCAGGCACAGTGGATCACGCGTCTGAAGAAAGCAGCTTCATGTCTTCATAAGCAGATTTTGCCCTGGAAAGTGAAGAAACTGGCCTTGGGTGTACCAGAAATGAAGAATATCATTGCTGGTAAAAGGAAGAGAGGGAATGGGTATGTCTTGGTTGCTCACTTGATTTTGTACTTAGAAGTGTTGTGGAAACCAGATTTTATACTCCAGAAACTATTTTGCATTGGGTGAAACTCTGAGCTCTGTCTCTCCAAGATTGCTTCTACACTAGCCTTAAGTTTGGAATTGCCATGATTCATTCGCACAGTTTTAACAGAGAATCCAGACGATACCATTGGCAGCCTGTTACACTCCAGCGTTTTCAGTATTGTATTTCCATATTTTTTCCAGATCTGTCATGTGGCAATAAATATAAAAGTAATTGCAATGTGACATCCAGCCATAGATGGACAAAGCGCTACTGAGGCTTCCTGAGTCTACTGACTCTTTATTTTTGCAGCTGCTTCCAGATTAATCAATTACTTCCTACTTAGTGTCTGGCTGGTCCAGCCATAACATTCAATGTTATGCATAATCAATGCATAAATACTGCTTTCCACTTTGTAGTGAAAACCACTCTCATTATTATTAATTGTAGGTTCATTATCGCACTATAACAACAATAGAATAATAAAATTGGTGAGCAGTAGCTTTGCCTGCAAGGAGAAAAGCAGTATTTAATTTCCCCCCTCCCCACACCCAAGATAATTAGTAATTGATTCAGGAAAAGGAGGGCTAGTTGTGTGGAGAATGGGAGGTAACTAAAACAAAGGAACAAAGGGAAAATTGTAGGAAAAAACAAAATTTTTGTATTCAGCTCTTACTTCCAAGTAAACATCATAAGTAAGATCTTACCCATCTGGACAAGCATTGCGGAAACTCCATTTTTTATTCTACTTGGCAGCTGAATATGGAAAAACAATGACTCAGTAGCACAAAGAGTGGAAGCAGCAGGAAGGGCCAGACATTATCTTTTAGCCTCAGTTCCTGATCTGTAAAATGGGAACACTAATGATCTATATGAGCAGTGACAAAGCATTCAGAGTTTGAAAGCATCCCCTTACAAAAGACTGGTTCTATTCCCCAAGGTGCTTAGGGCATGCTAATGATGATGATGCAGGAGGTCTCAGTTTCTAAGCCCTTTCAGGAGGCGAAGGGTAAAGTTTCCCTCTTCATCATGTCCACAAAGGCACTGCTCCTACTTTTGACTGGCTCATTTGTTAGAATGAAGGGTAAATGGCGAGCTTCCAGACAAACAAGCTCCTGTATGAATTTGCAGAGGAGCTGAGTTTCAAAGCGTTACATTTGGGGGGGCAGCGGATTGTGCCCTGTTGTTCAGATCCGTCCAGCTCACCCTCTTCCATTCTGAAAGTTGCACAGAGCACGTTGCCTCATCTTGCCTTGAGCCTTGTGGTCAGGCTACCTGATCCAGCTCTTCTTTTCTTGCACTACTCTGTACATCTGGGCAAAACTCACATCGATTGGTCATCTGTTCTCTTCTAGTCTAGATCAGGGACCAAGTCCTGCAATTTGAGAGCCAGTTTGGTGTAGTGGTTAAGTGTGCGGACTCTAATCTGGGAGAACCGGGTTTGATTCCCCACTCCTCCACTTGCACCTGCTGATGTGACCTTGGGTCAGTCACAAGCTCTGGCACAGCTGTCCTTGAAAAAGAGCAGTTTGTGTCAGAGTTCTCTCAGCCCCACTCACCTCACAGGGTGTCTGTTGTGGGGAGGGGAAGGGAAAGGAGTTTGTAAGCCGCTCTGAGACTCCAAGTGAAGGGCGGGGTATAAATCCAATCTCTTCTTCTTCTTCTTTGTCACCCTCCAATCAACCTGACGGGGGGGTGGGGGCTTGCAGTGGCATGCACGTGTCAAAGCCCTATTTATGGCTATCTGATTAGATAGCCATAAATAAACAATGGTCTGATTAGATGATGCACTGGGTGGGGGAGCAGCC